CTGTAGTAAGCATCTTTGTTTTTTGTTCTGCCATGTACACCAGTCAGATGTTCACCTCCCACTACTCTGCTAGAACTAGCGCTGTCATGGAAACTTCCTGGATTCCACGGCACTGACTTTAGTGGTCACTGCTCAGGGCCTTGCTTGGTCTCTGAGTGGCGTCTGGCACGGATCATCTCTCCTGCTTTACTGGAACACTGTCATGCTTGGCTTACAGGTGTCATGCTCGTTTTCCTTCATTCCTTCCTGGCTTCCTTTGCTAGTGCTTCATACCTTTTTGAACTCTGAATGGTAGTATGCCTGGATGGCTTTTCTTTTCTGAGATCAGACAAGATCAGGTACATTCAGGGTGGTATGGCAGTAGACACCACTTTTTTTTCTATCTTCATTCTCTTACCTATAGGTAGTCTCATCTGTATTCATAGATTTTATTACTGTCTTAGGGCTGGGGATACAGCTTAGTTGGTAGAGTGCTTGCCTCACATGCACAAGGCCCTGGGTTCAATACCCAGTACTACCAAAAAAATTAAATAATGATTACTGTCTGCATACTGGTGACTTCTAGTCTTATTTTTCTGGTCCAGACCTTTTCCTCAGCTCTAATTGCTTATGTCTACCTCCTGATCAGTACTTTTCTTTGGGTGTTTAATACATGTCTTACAATGTGCATGTCCCAAACTGAGTTCTCTATCTTCCCCAATAAATCTACTTTTCCCAGTCTTCCCCTCCTGGTTATTGGCAATTTCATTCTTTTAGTTATTCAGTAAAAATCTTGATTCCTGTCATTCTCTTACATCCATCTAAACTGTTTGATTATTAGATCAACTCTATCAAAAAACAAAACAAAACAAAACAAAACACCAAGATCCTACTATTTCTTGCCACTTCTGCTATTACTATTTTTCTACACACCCTGTCTCTCATCTGAAATGTTTAGAATGTTGCAGAATTTTTATTTTTATTTTTTTTATTGGTACTGGGGATTGAACCCAGGGATGCTTAAACACTTAGCCACATCCATTCCCCCGCCCTTGTAATTTTTAATTTTGAGACAAGGTCTTATTCGGTTGCTTAGGGCCTCACTAAGTTGCTGAGACTGACCCTGAACTTGTGATCCTCCTGCCTCAGCCTCCAGAGTCTCTGGGATTACAAGTGTACACCACCATGCCCTCAGGAATGTTGCAATAATCTACTTGAGTGCTTCTGTTCTCTGCAGTTTATTTTCCACAAAACAAATTATCCTACTAAAATGTAAATCTTATCATTCCTTACTTCTTTTCTTTTTTAAACAAATATTTTTATTAGTTATTGATGGGTCTTTATTTATTTGTTTTGTTTTGTTTTGTATGTGGTGCTGAGAATCGAACCTCACATGCTAGGCCAGTGCTGTACCACTGAGCCACAACCCCAGCCCTCCTTGCTTCTTTTCAAAACCCTCCTATAGCTTCTTATATCAAAGTAAAAGCTTATGTCCAGATAGTGGCCTGCAAGGTTATATTGCAGTACTTCCCAACCTATCCACCACGAAGAAGCAGTTTTATTTAAGTTTTCATTTCCAGTTTGAGGTGGATCAATACTTTACAAAGGTATGATAAAAATGAGTTATTAGGGAACTTCCACTCTGGTTGTGGTGAAGTAACTGTTATTAAATTATAGCTTTCCCAGTATGAACTACAACTGGTCTAAATATAAGAAACAGTTGTTTTCAGAAAGTAGATAGTAAGTGCTACAGGACTGATCCCTGAGGGAAGAGAAGCAAGTGGAGATAGCCCTGTGTTTGCTCTGGCATCCTGCCCAGAGGCATTTGTCCATAGTGCAATGGATACTAGCAGAGCAAGGCACTCTTCTGAGATGTGGAGATAGAAGTCAGACTTCAAGAAAGCTGGAATTTCCCAGGCAGAATACCAGAGGGGAGGAAGCCATGCAGAGAAAGAGCTCTATAAATATGCATGGAGGTTCCCTTGAATCTTTCTGAAAACTAAGCTGTATTTGTATAGAATGAGACTTTCTAAGACCTTGGAAAGAACAAATCCTGAAAATCTGAGAATGGAACAGGTAATTACCTGAGACACACAAATATTTTGAGTTCCGACCAGTCAAAGTAGAGAGACGACATTGAAAACTGAACATTACTCTGTAAAAACCATCAGGAAGGCCACTCCTTAGGAGCAGGGTGAAAATTGTCCTTGATAAAGGCCACTGTAGATCTGTGCTGATGAAGCTTAAAACAAGCCTCAAAATTAACTACCTGGTGGGGTGAGGTGGCAGATGCCCGTAATCCCAGTGGCTGGAGAGGCTGAAAGGAGAATCCTGAGTTCAAAGCCAGCCTCAACAACAGCAAGGTGCTAAGCAACTCTGTGAGACCCTGTCTCTAAATAAAATAAAAATTAGGGCTGGGGATGTGGCTCAGTTCAATCCCCAGTACCAAAAAAAAAAAAAAAAAAAAAAAAAAAAAAAAAAAAACTGCCAGATTCTTTAGAGGAAGGCAACAAAATCCAGACATTTATAATATAAATTCATCATTTCCATGATTCAGGAAGGAAAAAAAAAAGTTTAGAAGACACAGGAAAAGGCAGGAAAATATGAGCTCTATCCAGGAGAAAAATCAGTCAAGAGAAACAGAGTTAGAAATAATCTATGGTGCAATTAGCAGGCATGGATTTTCAAACAGTAATGGTAAATATCAGGAATATAAAGAAAAATATGTATATAATGAGCAAAATGGAAGAAATAAGAAAGAACCAAATGTAATTGAAACTTTCTGAATATATTTTCTACTTTGATTAAAAAAAAAATTTAAACAAGAATAATGGAATGCCTAGGGTTGAAAGGGCAATGCTTGAATTGAAAAAGTCAGTGGCTGGCTGGACTTAACAGAAGATCAGAAATCACAGGAGAATAGTTCATTGAAGTTAAAGACAGAGAGATACAACTATCCAAAATGGAGCACAAGGAAGAAAATTCCTAAAAAATGAACAGAGGCTCAGTTACCTGTGGGACAATGTCAAGCAAAAAAACTATAAATCTACAGATTTATAGGCTCAACAACAACAGAAAAGCTCAATAAATTTAATCAGGCTAAATAGAGACATCAACCATACCAACCAAGATACATCAGAATAAAATTGCTGAACAGTAAGTAATGAGAAAGAGAACATATTAAAGGCAGCTAGAGGGAAAAAAAGACCATTAAGTTAAAATTTAAAAGAAGGGCTTCATAATGGAGAGAGATGACCAATAACATCTGAGTCCACTCATCAGTGTCTGTATTCCATTCCATTATGTGCCTTCTTTTTGGTTTATGAGTACAACATACAAAGACTCAAGCCACTTCTCATGAACAAAACAAGCAAAAAATGTAATCAAGTATCTAGATCTAAACACGGGATAGAGAAATAAGTTATAATGTCTTATAACTTGCACAGGAAACAGTCAAATCCAGAATGTAGTGTATTCTACGAGGTATTCTGGTTTCTTCACAACAGATGTCATAAAATAAACAAGGAAAAGATGCAACCATTATGGACTAAAGACAGAAATATATCCATCAAATATAAGTTTATCAACCAAATGCAAAGTGGGAACCTTGTTTGGATCTTGATTTTAACAGGAAAGGGACACTTTTAGGGTTTGAAGAGATTTTTCAAAATAGCTGATATATTAAAACACTTTTGCCAAATTTCATAAGTGTGATGATAATGTTGGTCATGTAAAATGTATTCACTGATAGATATATAAGCTCAAGGATTCCCAAGTGAAATAATTGCCTTGGATTTGCTGTAGCCACCTTTCCTGCACCAAAGTTAAAAGAAGAAAGAATAGATTACACAAGATTGATGAAATGTTGATATTTGTTCATGTTTGTTGATGGGTACCTGAGAGGCAGTCATTAGATTATTGTATTTTATGCAAATTTTAGCATTTCTATAATAAATTTTTTAAAAAACATGCCACATAGCAGCACAATTCACAATAGTTAAATTGTGGAACCAACCTAAGTGTTCTTCAGTAGATGAATGGATAAAAAAAATGTGGTAAAAATACATAATGGAATATTACTCAGCATTAAAAGATAATAGAATTATGGCATTTGCAGGTAAATGGATGGAGCTAGAGAATATAATGCTAAGTGAAGTTAGCCAATTCCAAAAAACAAATGCCGAGTTTTTCTCTGATATAAGGAGGCTGATTTATAGTGGGGTTGGGAGGGGGAGCGTGGGAGGAATAGACTAACTCTAGTTAGGGCAAAGGGGTTGGAGGAGAAGGGAAGAGGCATGGAGTCAGAAATGATGGTGGAATGATATGAATGAATATACTTTGTATACAACTAGAGATATGAAAAATGGCCTCTATACGTGAATATGAATTGTAACGCATTCTGCTGTCATATATAACAAATTAGAATAAAAAAATTTTTTTAAAAAGAGCATGTGCTTAAGAACTTTTCACATATCTCTGAGAGCCTCACAGAGATGTCTTATTATTCGATACAATTCCAGTGAATTTGTTTCAAGTACAAGTTTTATGGGAGAAAATAGACTGAAGCTAAAGGAGGTTTTCTGACAAATAATATTTAGATAGCAGTGTGCATTAACATTGAAAATGCTTAAGGGTAGACAAAAGCTATAAAAGCAAAATGATCAGAAATCACTTAGTAATACGAAATAGATTCATTCTGCTCAAGTTCTGCCAGAGGGCCTCCCTAAAACATACACCCATTGCAAAGCCCAGAACCTTGACAGATCTGAGAGCACAGTCCTCCTCCTCAAGGATTGTGTTGTCAGTTGGCCAACATCATCTCCTAAAAGGTTGCTTGTGTTAAAGGACTGGGATGGAGTCCAGATCGCCTAATACCTTATCCCATTATGCATTGTGGTTTTTTATTATTTTCCTTATCGTGATTTATTTTTCCTATTTTTAAGTTTGCTCATTTTAATCCATGTTCATTTTTCCTTCTGTGTTTGTGTCACACTTCCTGTCCTTGCCTGCATCGTTCCCAGGTTTCAGTATAGCCAGGATATACCCAGCTCGCTGGCCGATGAGCATGCGCTGATAGCCTCCTATGTGGCCCGTCTGCAGCACTGTGCACGGTTAGTGGTAGAGCAGCAGCACCAGGCGGGTGGCCAGGGCTGATTGGAGGGGAGTGAGAGCTGGGTTACCTGGGGTTGCCAGCCGGAAAAGCTCTGCATGTGGGGTGCTCTTGAAAACTTGCCAGCTATGGTTGGCAGAGTTAAAACAATTGCTGAAGCATTGGCTTCCACAAGAGAAGGAGCCTTGCCAAGCCCAGCATTTACCTAAACGTGGAGTTATAAAGTCCCCAGAAGTAGGGTTTAACCCCTTCAGATTGCACTTGAAGAGTGCATAAAACCTCCTAGAGATCTACAGTTCCAGATATCGTTTACAGAAGTATTTCATGCATTCTCTCCTTCTAAAGAAGGAAATCTTCCTATTGATACTCGAAGGTGAAGGCCAATCAATCTCACTTTGTCTAATATGGGTGCTTTGTTACCATCACCCTATTTCATCTTTAGCATGTTGGCATAAATCTGTCATTCTTGATTCTTTAAACCACTGGTTTTCAATAGTGGTATTGGATCATTGTCACCTAAGAGGCTTCTTTAGAACTCTATATATACCTCCTCATATTATAATAGTTACATGTACTATAATCCTCCATGCTCCTTACCCTAAAAACTACTATGGCAAAACAAATAAATAAATAAAAGCTACTATTTTTTAATTTATATATGACAGCGGAATGCATTACAATTCTTATTATACATATAGACCACCATTTTTCATATCTCTGGTTGTATACAAAGTATACTCACACCAATTCATGTCTTCATACATGTAGTTTGGATAATAATGATCATCACATTCCGACATCATTTCTAACCCCATGTCCCACCCCCCTTGCCCTTCAACCCCTCTTCCCTATCTAGAGTTCTGACTTACTGTTAATATGGGAATGTGACTGATCCCTCAGTGGGTTGAGATGGAAAAATATTAGGTAACCACTAACTATGGCAAAGTTAATCCCTTAAAAAAAAAAAAGTTAATACCAAACAAAGCACTTTTCATTCAGGTAGAACCACAGCCTCCTGTCTACTCCATGCCTACACCATTCCCCAAGGATGATGACAGGTGAAATTTAAATAACCTAAAGCCACCCCTTCCCTCTACATAGCAGCAAAGAGGAGTATGATGCCAAAGAACTTGTAAAGCCTTGCTTTGAGAAGCCTATTGTAAGAGAAAATCATAATATATAAACTATGTATATAATAGGTAGAACATTAAATTTGATCCAAGTTTTCCCCATAGCATGCATGGCTCCTTGGGAAGGTCCTTTGACCTCACTCATCATCCCCCATTTTAACAGGAATAAATTAGTAGTCATTGGGGGAAACGTACACTTGAAAAGGACTGTTTTTACTATGGTATGCCACACTATTTCCCATGATTTTTTTTTTTGTATGACTAAGAAGCATTGTGATTTGGGGGCATTTTCCTCTCTCAAAAGCCATAGAAGATCTAGGATCCACTGGAGTCCCAGTTGGGTCCAAAGGGGCTTATTCTGTGGAAGGGGAAGTAAGGCTGATAATTGCACGCTGAGTACAGAGAACATCTTCTTGTCCAACACCTGATTTCTGTGCACTCATTCCAGCCTCTTGGTTTTTGGAAATTGAGTTGTTTTACCCCAGGCAGGAAAAATTACTTTTTATCAGTAAGGGCAGTTGTCTAGGATGCTTAAAGATGCCACAGTAAAATAGCAACAGGATGTTGGCAGAGACAGCTGTCTGATATTTCAGCCCACAAACGTTTATGGTAGGTTTTGCCAAGGTGTTCAAGTCCCGAGGCTTAGGTCCTAGACTCCCTGAGCAAAAATTGGTGGCCTGTGGTCCTGGGAGAACATGATGAGTAGTGAATGCTGCATCTCTTCTTGATTTATAGTCTGAGGAACTGAGCCTCATAGTTCATTGAAGAAGTCAGGCATTTCCTGGCTAATTCTGAAAATGTAAGTCAAACAGAAGAGTAAGGAACCTTTGTAATTACCATCAAATAATTTTCATTGACCTTAAAACTTCTCATTAGCTGAGTGGTACATACTTGTAATCCCAGCAACATGGGAGGCTAAGACAGGAGGATCATAAGTTCAAGGCCAGTCTCAGCAAATTAGCAAGGCCCTCAGTAACTTACTGAGATGCTGTCTCAAAATAAAAAATAAAAAGGGCTGGGGATAAAGACAGACTTTTAAAAAGGGGCCTGGGGACCACCTCTCAGTTCAATTCCCAGTAACAACAAGAATAAAATATTCTCATTAACACACAGTTCTAGTTTCTGTCTAGAAAACATAGCCAATTAAAGCAGTCTTATCATCCATGCTTGTGTGTAAATGGCACGTAAGATTAACCTTCCTACAGAGATGGAGTGTGATAGAGGAAAAGGAGCTTCTGTGCCAGAGAGCCTTGCCATATTACAGAGGTCCCACTCTTAGGCTGCCATTCCCTCTGTAATGTCATTTCACTTGTTTTGTTAATCATTCATTTTTGTTTTTTAATTAAAAGATACAGTTTTTGCTGGGCATGGTGATGTAAACCCATAATCCCAGCCACTCAGGAGGCTGAGGCTATAGGATCCCAAGTTCAAGGCCAGCCTTGGCAACTTAGTAAGACCCTTTTTCAAAATAAAATATTTTTTGAAAAAGTGAGGGCTGGGGATGTAGCTCAGTGGGAGAGCACTGCTGAGTTCATTCCACAATACTGCAATAAGTCAATAAATAAAACACACAGCTCTCTTGTTTCTGACAAAACACCTTTAAGGCACAAATATGGTAGTTCAACTCAGACTATGGGGTCTTGACCCTGAAATATTACAGCCAACTGAGTAACATGAACATTCACACACCTAAAACTTTGTAAAACATTGATAGGGGTTATAGCCAGAAGACTTAAAACATGTTTAAAAAAAAAAAATCTATCCTAGAGGAAAGACTAAATTAAGGTTAAATTGGCCACAGAAATAGAAACATAGAAAGTTTTTGTTTTGTTTTTTTTTTTAAATAGAAAAAATGCAGTTGCTTCTATGCAAGAAAAAGTCAGGACTCCCTTTCTTGATTTAACCTGGACCTTCCCAGCATCCCCATAGTCATTGTAACAAGGTTGGGGGAGTGTTGAACTCATATCTTTAAATTCTTAAATATTACTTGTCATGCCGCCAAATTCTGATCAAGAGGTTTGGAAACTTCATGAAACTAGGGCCAAAGTAGAGACAAGCCACAGAAACCTTCACTGGTCAGTCATCATTGTCACTTTTGTCCTAAAGCTTCTTCCAGTCTTAAAGATAATTATGTGGATACAGTTCCTGTTTGTTTTTTATTTGGAGACGGGGTTTTGTTAAATTGCTGAGGCTGGCCTTGTACTTGCGATCCTCCTGCCTCAACCTCCCAAGTTGCTGGGATTACAGGTGTGTACCACCATGCCTGACAGAGTCCCTGTTAATCTAGGACTGGGCTGGTATGAGTAAACAACAGCTTACTAAAATAAAAAAGTCAACCATTTACATAGGACTAACCTACTCAAGAACCCTTCTTTCATTTAGTTGCCTAATCTAAGGGCTAAAGTTGTAGAATAAGCATAGTAAAATAAGAGAGAGGCATTAAAAGGGAATGTTGAATACCATGGATTCTTCTCCGGCTTTACAGTAGTTTGGTTGGCTCCAACCGGGGTTCCCCACTTTTGCTCAGCCATGTCAAGTATGCTTTTTCTCAGTTCTTTCTTTTTTCATGATATTCTAGTTTTCTCTTGGTCTTTTTGAATTCAAGATCTAGGTCTAAAAAGTCATGAATTTTTCCCAACATTTGGTTAGAAATCCCTAACTCAGAACTTGTTGAGTACCCTGTCTTAGCCCTTCATTCAAAAAGAAGTGTCCCTTTGATGGTGCGGGAGAGTGTGGTATACGCTGGGGAAGAGTGACACGTGCAGCTTCACATCTCTGAGTCCCCTTTTGTCTCAGGAGACCATTATTGCCTGCGATCCAGGCCTGCATTTCTTTTGTTATTATTCTGAATTATAAGCTTTTCTCCTGTGTCTTCTTTTTAAGGATGGAACAACAATTGGGGGTGCTTAATAGACACCTGTTGAATTTTTATCTCATTGGCAGTGTCCTGGAAAGTCCTAGCCGGCTGGATGAGGAGCACCGACTCATAGCCCGCTATGCTGCCCGACTGGCTGCAGAAGCAGGAAACACGGTGAGTAATTTCTACCACCCAGCAGTGTGGTAGAAATTAGCATTGATTAATGTACACATTGTGTAGGGGAATGTAAACGTGAAACAAGAGAGAAATTACCCCAGGGACAGAAGCAGGGAGGATGTTTGGGGGGAGATTGAAGAAACCTATAATGTCTTCTACAGTGTTCTCTTTCTTAAAAAAAAAAAAAAGGCACCAAGAAGAGAAAATCAAAGTTGAGTTCTTTAAAAAGATCAATAAAATCAATAAACTCAACAATTCTGATTAAGCAAAAACACAAATGACCAGTCTCAGGAATGAAAGAAGGATTATCACTACAGATCTTACACTAAAACGGTGATAAAGGAAATTATGAACAACTTTTGCCAATAAAATTGACAACTTATATGAAATAGACAAAGTTCTTAAAAGACAAACAAAACCAAATAGCTCTATGTCTGTTAAAGAAATTTTATGTAATTTATTTATTTTAGAGATTTTTTTTTTTTTAGAGAGAGAGAGAGAGAGAGAGAGAGAGAATTTTTTTTTTAATATTTATTTTTTAGTTTTCGTCAGACACAACATCTTTGTATGTGGTGCTGAGGATCAAACCCGGGCCGCACTCATGCTAGGCGAGCGCGCTACCCCTTAAGCCACATCCCCAGCCCAAGAAATTGAATTTATAATTAACTTTCCACCAAGAAAATCCCCAGCCCTGATGGCTTAACTGTTTACTGCTATCATGCTAAAAGAAGAAATAAGATTATCTTAGTGCATCCTCTGTCTGAAGGCAGGAAGGAAGATTTTCCAGGTCATTCTGTCAGGCCACTGATACCAAACAATGTAAGGCCATTACAAAAAAAGAAAACTGCTGACTAAATTCTCTCATAAACACAGTGCAAAAAAATCATTAACAAAATATTAGCAAATTGAATCCAGCAAGATGTATAAAGGATAATACTCCATGATCAAGTGAGATTCATCCTAGGAATGCAAATTTATATTGAGCCTGGCCCACTGAAGCATCGTTTCCTTGGAGAAGGAATGGTATAAAAGACAGCTTTATGCAGCACAGAGATGAGAAAATCTCTAAATTTCCTCCTGCAAAGTATTGGCAATTAGTTTTTCTACAACAATAATAGAACAATTTCTTTATAAAGGAAAAGAAAACTTATTTTGTTTTTTTGTTTGTTTGTTTTGGTACTGAGGATTGAACCCAGGGGCACCTAACCACTGAGCCACATCCCCAGCCCTTTTTTATTTTTTATTTTGAGACAGAGTCTTACTGAGTTGCTTAGGGCTTCACTAAGTTCCTGAGGCTGGCCTCAAACTTGCAATCCTCCTACCTTAGCCTCCCAAGATGCTGGATTATAGGCCTGTACCACCACAACTGGTCAAAACCCCTTATTTTCAAATAAAATATCTGATTACATCCAGTGCTGCAAGATGTTTGTGATAAAACTTTTACGAATTTTCTCCACGAATAAAAGACAATTGAATATCTTGAACATACTGAAAGAAACAAGCTTAGCTGTCAACATGAGAAATAGATGCTTTCTGACAAGGACTGGAAAGGTCCCTGTAACATGCTAAAAGAATAGTACAAATAATTAACACTTATTGAATATTTATTATGTGCCAGTCATTATTCTCAGTGTTTTGCATATGTCTTAGCTAATTTATTATTCAGAATAATCTTGTGAGGAAACTAAGCCTGAGAGAGATAAAGAAACTACCCATGTTGCATAGTTTTAAATGGTAATCCAGGAGGAAGGGAATTAAACCTAGAAGCAAAAAAGGAGATGATAGGAGGGACGATCTGAAACCCAAACCACAGACTTTCTAAGTGTTAACCAGGTGCAGGGGATGGAATATGGCCCAGTGGAGTGTTTAAACGAATGTAAGTCCTGAAGTTTGAGGCTGCAGGACCAGAGTGCAGGAACAGCACTGGAATGAAGCCAGGCAGGACAGCTCACCCAGGAGCAGGTCATACAAACACAGTCTGTCAGGTTAACAAGGCGTGCCACTTTATGCTTTCATAGGAAAATAGAGTTGCAAAAGCTGCAGATGGAAATTCTTGATTTGTTTCTCCCCAAGGAAGTAATTTTAAAATTTCTTCTTCCAAATCTTTCAAATTTCCTCTTCCAAAGATTTCCAAATCCTCTTCCCAAGAAGCTAGAAACAGGTTGCATGTCTGACTCTTAACAGGAAAGGTTAGTGAAACAGAACTAAATAGAAAAAAGCCTGGGGAAAAAGAAAAGTACAATGAGGTAAGTTAAACCTTACACCTGTCTTCAGTCATTCCCAACCACTAGTTTAGAAATTAAAAATATATAGATAAATTTGTTGAGATGGGCTACACCGATTGAATTTTAGTAATTTAGTATGTGTAATGCCGTTAAATAGCCTTGTTGACCTCACATCGTGCTTTTAAAGTGTTGTAAATAAAAACTGCAAAGCCATTTGACCCTGAGGTCCCCGTACTCCCTAACTTTGAACCAAGATAAGGCTGTTTACACCTGGTAGTTCCTGATACCAGTTCTCTAATTCTTGTGAAATGGTTGTTAGGATGGGGAGGGTGAGTACTGCCTCTGGTGCCTTTCGCTCTGTGTTTGTTTTGCCATGTGCAATGATCTCACAAGTATTGGGCCTCTCAGGAAGGATTCCTCCTGACTGGATTTCTGTTAAACAGAAGACTCCTAATCCTCTAATCTCAACAACTATACAAGTGCTTTGCATAAAGTGGGTGTACTGCTCAAAAGAATTTATTTATAGCCTGCCAGATAAGCTTTGTATTGATTTTTTTCAAAGACCTTTTTCAAAGAGAGCCAGTTAGATCATTTGAGCAGTCAGCAAAGCACCCTGTAGAGTGCCTCCCTATCAGCCCAGGGACTTGTCCCCAAACGCCCAACATGCCCACTCAGGCTGACCGACCCTTGAAGAAAGACATTTTAGGCTGCTTAGATGAACCAGGAGAGCTCATTTTTCTTTTTTCTCAAATACTAAATTCCTTTTTAACAAAGTTGGAAAACAAAACAAAAAACTGTAATGTGGCGACTGAGGTTACAGCTTAGCAGAAGAGCACTTGCCTCACACATGTGAGGCACTGGGTCTAATCCCTATCACCACATAAAAATAAATAAAATAAAGATATTGTGTCCATCTTTTAAAAAAACTGTAATGTGCAATAAATCATAGTAATAACAGCAGATTCTCCAAGTTTCATCACAAAGGTCACCAGAGTTAGATTTAAATCATATATTTGTTTACCTTGGGGCTGGGGATATAGCTCAGTTGGTAGAGTGCTTGCCTTGCATGCATAAGGCCCTGAGTTCAATCCCCAGCACCACTGGATTACAACCCCCTTTTTGGAAAGTGTTAATTAAAACTCACTGTGGGAAATTTAGGAGGAAATTGACAGGAAGGATAAACCATCACCCATTGTCATACTCCCTCATATTTAAAACTTTTATTTATTCTTCATTCATTCATTTATTCATTTATTTTTGGTACCAAAGATTGAACCCAGGGGCACTTTACCACTGAGCTACATCCCCAGCCCATTTTATTTCATTTATTTATTATTTTGTGGTGCTGGGGATTAAACACAGGCCCTTGTGCATGCAAGGCAGGGACTCTACCAACTGAACTATATCCCCAGCCCTATTTTTTTATTTTTTATTTTTTGATACAGGTTCTTGCTAAATTGCTTAGAGCCTTGCTAAATGTTGAGACTGGCCTGGAACTTGTGATCCTCCTGCTTTAGCCTCCCAAGCTACTGGGATTACAGGCATGCACTACCACACCCTGCTCATTTAAAACATCTGTGCTAGGCTTTTCCGGGTATCCCAGCCTTCATAGCCCCACTATCTGAGCTGCTGCAGGCACATACCATCTTGGGAACATCCTCATGGCTTCTTAGAATTAGAGATTAACAGTATCCATGCAGTGTTTTGCACACATTTTAAAAATAGGCATTGTCAGCCCTGGCTACATATTACATTTGTATATGAAACATTTAATAAATATAGAGATCCTTGGCTTTGCCTCACACTTACTGAATGAGAACCTCTAGGATTAGGGCTCATCGATCTTTATTGAAAAGAAGGAAGAAGAGTCAAGTTCAGTCTTCTGATTAACAGTTAGCTATAACCACTGTCTTAAACAACATTATTGGGTTTTTGAGAGCTATTAATAATCCGCAGCCCTTCAGTTAGTCTCTGTGAGTTTGGATGGTGGGCAGACTGCCGTGCAGTGTAAAGACAATCTAAGAGGTTTCTTTAGGACTCATCCTGCCAGTTTCATAAAGATGAGAGCCTTTGTCTCTTTTACGAGTCTGCAGAAATGCACACCACTGGATTACAACTTGCCGGATCACCAGGTTACGGGGTCTCTACCACAAGGACCATACCTAGTCCTAGTCACCTCCCAAAGGTCCCATGAACAGTTTCTACCCCTTCAGCACCTCAGTGTGGGGATGAAATTTCAGCTTAGGAAGCGTGGGGATGTTCACACCATGGCAGCCTGGCTTGTTTATATTTTCACTGATTAAAATAAGCCCTTGTTAGATCCTGAAAATGGGGTGAGGGATTTCTCCCTGTTGGTGCACCCAGCTGGAGGAGCCCAGCCCTACACCCTGTTTCTTCATATTTTTTAGTAGTAGTGCTTTCTGGAGGCAAAGAAGTACCTAGTTAACAATCTCTATAGATAATGACTTCATTCCCACGCTGACCCTCCATTGTGGAAGATGCCTCAGCTTCACTGTCGGACACTCAAAACTGGAAGGATTCTTTAGTCATTTGTTGTTGTCTTCATAAGAAGCAAATTCCTGTAGCGCTTATTTCCTCAACTATATGTACCCTGTAACTCTTGTTTTCAGAAATTATAACAAGAAAGAAAGGGAAGGAAGAGAAGGAAGGGAAGGAGGAAGGAAGGAAGGAAGGAAATTGCAACCCTATTATTTATTGCTAGATTCAGTCTCAAAACAAGGCATTTTTCTGAGGGTCAGCTTGGGCTGTCACAGATTGATTACAATATGGAAAATTTACTCAGCTGGCTGCTGGTCCATGTTTCTTTGGAAGAAGAAGGATCATCTTTTAAAAAAGAAAATTCTTTTGTAATTTGGTCAAAATTCTCCCACCCAGATTTGCTCTGCTGTTTTGGTGTGTATTTAGAAAACACAGTATGAAAAGAGTTACTTATTAAATCCTTAACTCTAGGTAGGAACAAGGTAACAACGTTTCTGCTGCTGTAGGCCATGTTTCAGGCAGAACCAAGAGTGTGAGTGAGGCCTGGCCACCACAGGGCTCTCAGTGAGGGGAAACCTCACGTCCTTGTCCCTTTTCCCCTTTCTTGATAATTGGCTACTGTATTCTCCAAGACCGTAACAAGGGTCAGAAACATCAGTCGATATGCAAATTAAACCCACATGAGTTTTCCAAAGCAGATACACAGATGGCTAATAAGCACCAAAAAAAAGTATGCTCAGGCTATAGTCATTAAGAAAATGCAGAGTGATTCCATAGACCTACTCCACACCCACAGGGTGACTAGTCAAAATGGTAGACAGTACCCCCTGTTGGCAAGGATTTTGAAAAAAATGGAAATGTCATACACTGCTGGTGAGAGTAAACAATGTGGCCAGTTTGGAAAACAGTTTGGCAGTTTCCCAAAAGGCAATTACCATAAGACCCGCAATTCCACTCCTCTATATTACTCAAGAGAAAGAAAACTTAATTTGTACACAGATATTCATAGCAGCATTGTTCAAAACAGCCAAAAAGAGGAAACAACTCAAAAGTTCATCAGCTGTTGAATAGATAAAACATCTATATTTTACTTATATTATTCAGCCATGGAAAGTAATGAAGTGAAACTGGGAGTGTGGCTCAGTGGTAGCACTTGCTTAGATGTGTGTGGCACTGGGTTCTATCCCTAGCACCGCATAAAAACAAATGTGTCCATCTTCAACTAAAAAAATAATAAAAAGAAGAAAAGGAATGAAGTACTGATACATGGTAGAACATGGATGAACCTTGAAAATTTTTGTTAAATGAAAGAAGCCAGATATATATGAAATAATTAGAATAAATAAAACCAAAGAGACAGAAAGCAGAATGGTGTCTGTTGGGAACGGGAGGAATAGGGAATGGCTACTAACGAGCACAGAGTTTCTTTTGGGGACTTAGGTTTGTGAAACGGTTTTACACAAGTCATAAATTCACTAAAAACTGCTGCATTGTACACTTTAAAAGAGTAGATTTTGTAGAATGTAAATTGTATCTCAGTTTAAAAAAAAACAAAAACTCACAATTGGGAATTTCACATCCACTAGGATGATTAAAAGCAAAAGGACAATACCAAGTGTTGGTATAGGTGAGAGAAATTGGAACCCCCAATCATTATCATTGGGACTGTACCATAATGCATCCACTTTGGAAAACAGTTGACAGTTCTCAAATATTTTTAAGTATACCATTACCATTTAACTCAGTGGGGCTGGTGATATAGCTCAGTTGGTAGAGTGCTTGCCTCGAATGCACAAGGCCCTAGTAGGGTTCAATCCCCAGCACCACAAAAAAAAAAGAGTGAGAGACATATAACTCAGCAATTCACAACAATGCATTTATTCAAGAGAAATTGAAACATTGATATAGAGTTATAAGTGAAAGCTCATACAGCTTCCTTTGTAATAGCCAAAGCTGGAAACAGTGAATACTACTCAGGAACAAAAAGAATAAAAAAGGAACTACTGGTTCATGAAGCAATACAGATGAACTTCAAAAACCCCATATTAGCTAGACACAGTGGCACATGCTTGGGAGGCTGAGGCAGGAGGATCCCAACTTCAAGACCAGCCTCAGCAACTTAGCTGACACCCTGTCTCAAAAAATAAATAAATAAATAAAAAGGGCTGAGGAGGTGGCTCAGTGGTAAAGCAACCCTGGGTTCAAACCCTCCCCACCACCCTCTTCCACCAAATAAAAAAGGAAAGAAACAAACATGTTATTGGTTAAAGAAGGATGGCTGGCGCTGCCAGTGGGGAAACATCTAGTTCCTCTAGGGCACCCCAGCTATAGACCACTTTTGCTAAAATATGGTATCTCTTAGATAGGGAAATGCAGCCCCCTGGTAAACGTGCTGCTACAATAAAACTTAAAGGATGGGGCTGGTGATATAGCTCAGTTGACAGAATGCTTGCCTTTCATGCACAAATCCCTGGGTTCAATCCCTAGCATCCCCCACCCCCCAAAAAATGGATAGAAAACTTCAAGGATTACATAAATCTATGTACCAGTAACTGATGCTCACATGTAAGAGTTTTTCCAAGGTATTTCCACCGAAAAGGCATTACCGTTGCATGGAAGTTATGGTGTCTTTAAGCCAGTTTATCTCGTACCAGCAGCATATACCCCATTATTCTTTGTCTTTAGTAACAGTTGATATTTTCATTCTTTTTAACTACTCTATTAGATGTGAAATGCCATTTGTGGGTTTAATTTACATTTTCCTGATTATGAATAATAGCTGAGAATAGTTTCTCATCTGTGAAATGTCTGAGTATATCTTTTACCCATTTTTCTACCAGGTTATTTGTCCTTCACATTTTTCTTACATTTATTTATTTATTTTTTAAAATCTTTTTAATATTTATTTTTTAGTTTTCGGCGGACACAACATCTTTGTATGTGGTGCTGAGGATCGAACCCAGGCCGCACGCATGCCACGCGAGCGCGCTCCGCTTGAGCTACATCCCCAGCCCCTTTCTTACATTTATTATAAAAGTTTTAAAACATTCAAAAAGGCTCAAAGAGTAGTATGGTGAATTTTTTCATACTTTCAGCCTAAATTACATGATTGTTAATATTTTACCATGTTTTTTACTTGACCACTTCAATATAAGTTGCGTATGTCCTAATTATGTCTCCTGAATACTTCAGCATACATTGCCTAAGAATAGAGATATTTTCCTTGTATTCAAAATGTCATTGACACACCTAAGAAAATAAGCAATAATTTAATCATTTAAAAAAACTCATGTTGGGTCTGGGGTTGTAGCTCTGTGGTAGAGTGCTTGCCTAGCACATGTGAGGCACTGGGGTTCACTCCTCAGCACCACATAAAAATAAATAAAGGTATAGGGAAAAAAAGCTCATGTTAAGTGAAAACCAGAATTAAAACCTACATGTTGTATGATTCCATTTATATGAATTTTCTAGAAAAGGCAAAACCAGCCAGAAAGCCCATCAGTGGCTGCCTGTGGTTGGGGTGGGAGTGGTGGTTGAAGACTATCATGAAGGAATATTTTGTGGTGATGGAAAATGTTCTAAAACTGGACTGTGGTTGTTGGCTGCAAAACCATTTGAATTTACTAAGACTCATTGAATTGTATACTTAAAATGGGTGAATTTTATGGTATGTAAATTGTGGTAGAGCGTTTGCCTAGCACGTGCAAGACGCTGGGTTCTATCCTCAGCACCACGTTAAAATAAAGGTATTGTGTCCGACTACAACTAAAAAATAATTAAAAAAAAAAAAAACACAACAGTTTCTAAGAAATCAAGTCAGTCTCAGACCCTAGGTACATTTGAATCAGGAAAAAACAGCTCTCTACCTCCTCTAGACTCGTCCTCCTGCTGATGTGAGCTTTAACTTTGATGCCAACAAACAGCAGAGACAACTTATTGCAGAACTGGAAAACAAGAACAGGTAAGATGCATAAATCAAGCCCATTTCTCAAGTCCAGGATTAGCACATGTGTATCTGGTTCTCATCTTTCTCACAGATTAGATGGCTTCCGACCACACAGGAAGATCCCACCCCAGCGCACAGAGGCTGGCTGAAGCCCAGGGAATGCCCTGGACCCTCGTGTACATCTGCATGCTGTTGATTCTGGCTGTGCAAAGTGCTTCTCTCCTGTGCTCCCTGAATTCTTTCTCCGGATCCCCTCCCACACCAGTGTGACCCCTTCCTGGATTCCTTTCTCCACTCTGCTTCCCTGCAGAATTTTGCTCTGTGTGGTCATCTTGTCCTGGCCCATTGCACTGCATGTGACTGGTCTCTGGGTTAGGAAAAAACGCTTCAAAGGCATAAAGACCTGACAGCAGGCTACTGTGCACTGACTGGTAGAAACCAGGGCAGAGACTGGACCTAGAGTCACACGCATGGCTTCAGGAGAAAAGGGTCAGGGGCTGGAGACCTGAAAACCTGCATAGGGACCTGCATGAGGAGGTTGCAAGGAGTCTTTTTCCTTCCCCCAGAGAGGAGCAGGGTAAATAAAGCATTCTGATTGTCATTTCCCTTCCCTGGAGATTTTGCAAGTTATTGGGAAGAGTGTTTTTCTGACTTTTCCATCACAAAGGTCTGTTTCACATTTTGGTCATGTGGAAGCAATCAGAATAAGACACTGTGAGGGTTAAAAGTTCTAACAGGAAAAAGTGAAGGAGAGCTGAGAAGCACCAGGCAGCTGTCTTTCTTTCATCCTCCTCTCTAGAGAGATCCTGCAAGAGATCCAGCGTCTCCGTCTGGAGCACGAGCAGGCTTCCCAGCCCACTCCTGAGAAGGCCCAGCAGAACCCCACGTTGCTGGCTGAGCTGCGGTTGCTGAGGTAGGCAGTGAGACTGCTCTTCTGTCCCCACGCTATAATCTACAGTGGAAACAAACTAGTGAATTAGAATCTCTTGCCATGTAGGTAGGCAGTCCCGTTAGAAAAACCTGCCCAGGAGGTCCATTATTGATCACGCTGAGAATTCAGCCATCAATACAGAACTGGTAAATACCAGTTGATCTCCTTAAATTCCCAGGACAAGCTGGGCAGTGTCTGTACTTCTGGGATTATTTTAAAATGACTGTTGTACTGCCATCCTCCTCTTCTCTTGCTGAGTTGTCTGGCTTTAGAGATTCTGGCTGGGCATCCCGCTTTCCCTTTCCTGTGAGTAATTCTCCTGGCTCTTCATAGAGCAGGAGAAGGATGCTTCCAGTGCACCTCAGCGGAGATGTGAAACCACAGGAGCCTCCCTTATACCTTGACTATGTATGGTACCTTCTCACTTCTACAAAAATATAGAGTGTCTCTTAAGATTGAGAAGCTAGACATAGGATCAGCATGGGAGCAGAGAGCAAGGTCAGCTTCGAGTTTGATGCTCTTTTGGAGGGAATGAAGAACGTGACCTAGGATCTTGTTTCCTTTCTACCTTAGAAACAGTGTGTACCCTCCTGTGAGTAGAGACTTTAGAGGAACCATTGATTCCCACCCAAACTCTCAATTCCCAAATAGCAGTTCTTTTCTGTTAGGTTGTAGCATTGACATTCCGCAATCAATTTCTAATGTTTTGTCATCTGGGATTCTGTGTAGCTGAATACCTTTTTTTTTTTTTTTTAATTCTTCCTTTGGTTTAGGTCACTTAGCCTCTTAACCATGATTTCTTCTCCTAGAGAATGGAGATTATTGTTTTTGCATAGGTATCCTATTGTTAAAATTTGTATCCTCAATAATTAGTAATAAAGAATTGAAACTATGCAGGTGAGAATCATTAGAGGTATATAGAGTCCCATCTCCTAAAAATTCATTTTAGTTTCTAAATGTAGTCAGGTGGAAATTTTGGTTGCTCTGTGTTCACTCTGCCATATTTGGGATATTAGTGAGATTTGAGTGATACTGGGAAGGATGGGGAAACGAGTGTTGACTCCAGCAGAGAATTATATAATATGTAATATACATCTTTTTCCTTCCCTAGTTCAGTTCAGGCACAAGTAACTATTTCTATATCTAGAAAAGCAAAAACTGTCCTCCTGGCATCTAACTGTTGCTGGAAATGGGATTATTATTAAAGTGTTCAGTGCTAAGCTGGAAGGATCTGAAAAATGTGCATTTGGTTGGCTGAGTCCAGGAGTGTTCATAAGGCAGCAAAAAGCAGGAATTTATGTAAGTCCAAAGGGATTTTCAAGCTTGAGAAATCAGGAATGTTTGACTTTGTAAGATGCTTCTGTATCATGAAGAAGGGAGGACACTTGGGTAGTGTTCAGAAGACACTGGGCCTCCATCCGACACGGAAACCAACACCAACAGAGTGAACACAAAGGCGCAACTTTGAGACCACCAGAACACTTGGAATTTCTTTAGGATTTTGGTATAGAAAATAATCTCTCAGAATTACTAACCATGAAATTGGTAAATTCATCAACAATAATATTGAGAACTTTAATTCACTGGAAGACACATAAAGGGCAGGTTTAATTTGTTAATATTTGACATCCTTTGGATTCTGATCAATGTATATAAATCCAGGAACTGCCAATTCTCAGCTAGGTTAATACAACAGTTTTGTTCCCGGTGGACTCTTCCTCTAATGCAGGCAAAGGAAAGACGAGCTGGAGCAGAGGATGTCGGCACTACAGGAAAGCAGGCGGGAGCTCATGGTCCAGCTGGAGGGGCTGATGAAGCTGCTGAAGGTAAGCAGAGGGGCCCCTCTGGGCTTCTCCTCCTACCAGTCTTCTGCTTTACCTCCCACCACAGTCGCAGCTGCGACCGCCCTTGGTGTCAGAATAGCATGGAGGCTAAAAGGCTTGGCTGCCAGGCCTAGAACCTGTGTTCAGGCAAATCTCCACAAATTAGGTATAAAAGTTATCAAAATTGGTTCAAAGCTTGATTATAAAAAGTCAATAACTGGAGCGGCCGGGCATTTTGATCAATGTATATAAATCCAGGAACTGCCAATTCTCAGCTAGGTTAATACAACAAAGTTTTGTTCCCGGTGGAGAAATCAGAAATTATAATCCTAGCTGCTTGGGAAGCTGAGATGAACATCTCAAGTGAGAGGCCAGCCTGGACAACTTACTAAGTCTCAAATTCAACCTTTCTCAAAATAAAAAATAAATAAAAAGTCTGAAGGTGTGATTCAGTGGTGGAGCTCTTGCAGAGCATGCATGAGGTCCCGGGTTTAATCCCCAGTACTATAAAAGACAAAAAAAAAAAAAAAAAGGCTGGGGTTGTGGCTCAGTGGTAGAGCACTTCCTTGCATCTGTGAGGCACTGGGTTTGATTCTCAGCACTGCATATAAATAAATGAATAAAATAAAGGTTCATCAACAATGAAAAAAATTTAGTAACTGGAAATAGGGTAATGTTCTTGAATAGTTGCTTTTATAAACAAACAAGGATGTTTATAAATAGGGTATTAGCTATGTATAAAGGAATATTTCTCAACTGAAGTTTCTCTTAAGATAATTTTTCAGATATTCCACCTAAATCCTTAATGAATGTCATGTCCAATTTAATTAGTAGTATGGAAGCAAACTGTATCAGAGTGATTTTAGAGAAACAAAACCAACAGGAAATATAGACTTATAGAAGAGGGGGTTTATTATAGGAATTGGCTCACTCAATTATGGAGGCAGAGAAGTCCCATGATATGCTCTCTGTGTACACAGTGGTATAATCCAGCATGGGTCCCAAGGCCTAAGAACCAGGGGATATGATGGTGTAGCCCCCAGACTAGGGAGTGTGTTGGAGGAGTGGGTATTAGATCACTGGCATAAGTCCTGGTATCGTAAGGCCTGAGAATCAGAGGAGCTCCTGTGTCCAAGGGCAGGAAGAGATGAATGCCCCAATTCCAGAAGAGAGAGCAAGTTTGCCTTTCCTCTTTTTTTTCCCTAACCCCAAATCCCGAATTTCTTTCTAACTTTTGTCTTATAATTTCAGCAAAACAAACAGGACCCTGCCACCCCATCTTATAGGATCCCCTACCAGATTTAAATGCCTTATCATTTACCCACCTGACAGGGCTGAGGCCATTCAGACTAGATGAATTTGTAAACACAAGCCTAGAAATGTTGTCTTTTTATCCATGGAACACAATTCACAGTTGAAAATCTGATGTCTTTAGTAATGTCCAGATTCCTAAAGGAATTACAGCACAATCTTAATTTGTGTATTATATACATTCCCAAAAGGTCATATATAGAAGTCAGTGGCTTCTATTAAAATCTCAAAGATGTTTTCCTACTATTAAAAAAATTATACCAACCCATAATAAAAACACCCTTTGGACTCCTAATTTTAATTTCAAATGACTGTCCTCCTTTCATTGATGTTCAGTCTGTTAGTATTTAATTCGCTCATAAAACAGCTGTAAGCAGTTAGTCAAATGGACAGTTGAGACACATGGTCTGGGAGGCTCATAAATTAACATACATCACACAGTGAATTTCCATTTCACAGGGAGTTATTTCACTCCATAGCGTCAGTAAAATATTTTGTACTTCATTTTTTTATCTGAAAAAGTGATCATGTAAGTAAGTATATATAAAAAGTTGCACCATTGTTTATTAATTCAGTCAATAAAAATTTTCCTCAAATATTCTTTTTGGGGAACAAGGCATGGTAAAAACTAACTACATGTTTATTTTACAAAAATGTGTTGAGTTCCTAAAAACCTAGCATGCTAGGTTTTTGGTAAGTGATGGTGAAGAGACTCAATCCCCATCACCAAGGAGTGTCAAGGACTTTCTTCTCAGTTGTTTTTTAATTTTGATGATATAATATACACTGATTTTCAAATACCCATGTTTCTCTACATATCTTTTCCCTACATTTTTTCTTGATTAGTGAGTATATCAATAACCTGTGCTCAAATTTCTTATTTAATCTAGAAATGGTTGTGTGCTGGTATTTCTGTTTCTAATGCATGCTTTCTTGTTTTTCTGTGTGTGTGTGTGTGGGTATGTGTTACTGAGGATTGAACCCAGAGGTACCCTACCACTGAGCTACATCCCAAACCCTTTATATATTTTATTTTGAGACAGGGTCTTGCAAGGGGGCCAGGCTGGACTCAAACTTGAGATGGCCCTGCTTCAGATCGGTCTCCCCCCTCCTCCCTCCCTCCCTCCCTCCCTCTCTCTCTCTCTCTCTCTCTCTAGTAGTAGATGGACAGAATGCCTTTATTTTATTTACTTATTTTTATGTAGTGCTGAGGATCGAACCCATTGTTTCACGCGTGCTAGGTAAGGGCTCTACCGCTGAGCCACAACCCCAGCCCCTGCTTCAGTCTCTTGAGTAGATGGAGTTGCAAGGTATGTACCACTGTGCCAGCTCATAGTTCCAATATTGCTTTTGAAATACACTTATATACAGATAAATATATAATATACAGATAAATAGATGTATATACAGATAAATACTGATGTTTTGAATTTCAACCTCATTTGCAAATGTTTATCTAGCTAGAATGTATATTTTTGTGTAGATGATCCCAGAAACTATGCCATTACTTTGGCCACCGGGCCAGACCTTACCCCATGTGGAAGAAATTCAAATTTTTAGATATCATAAGCAGTTCTAGGATTTGCACTTTAAAATTAAGGTATTATGACCCCTTTAAATCAAGTTTGGGCTCTGTCCGTTGTCATCAGTCAATGTTTACTGATTCCTGCTGACTAATTGATAACAAAAAGTTCTAAGACCTTATATCTAACCTTTTCACAGTGTTGACAGAGCCTTAAAGACTTTATCTGAATAACTGTGTGTGTTTTAAGTTGTACAGCTCCATCCTAGGTAATACTTTGCCAAAGTCCACAAGTACACATGGGGACCTTGAAGTCCTGAGGATGATAGCCTGTCCACCAACCCCATCCTAATGTGACACATGTGTGTACTGCCAATCATAATGGTTTCATGTCTTTGAACAAACATATATAGCAGAGTCACCACATGAGCAAGCATAAAACATTGCTGGAAAAACAGTGACAATTGGGAGGTATCTGAGAAGTAGTTCTAAGAGATTACAAACTGGTTTTTTGAGCTGAGAAAGGATTTCAGGCTGTGAGAATTGCCCCATTTCTCCCCTACCATCCCAATTTCCATTTCAATACTTGGTAGCAGCAATAAAAAACATGTTTTAAGATTGTTTAATAACTCTCCTATGGCTGTTTGCCTTGCCTGCTGAATGTAAGCATTGTCCAGCACCAGCGGGAAGCCTGGCTGCAAAGGGAGATAACTTCCCAACTGAAAAACTCCCCTGGGACTAGAGCCCTATGTGCACATGCATAGGCAGGAAGCCTCTGCCTTCTTCAGGTGAATGAGCTGGTACTCAGGGCCACCTGTCTGGGTTCCCTGGGTGTTAGATTTGGTCAGTACCTGGCAGCTGACTTCTGATAAGAAAAACACCTCCCTGGGCAGAACCAGAACTGCCTCAAGGAATTTCTTGCTGTTCATTTAATTTCTAGTTCGTGTCTGGCCATTGCACAAGTGAAAAATATTGTCTCCCAAGTTTTTACTTACCCTCTCTCTCTTTCGCAATTCCTTTGCTTAACTAAAATCACTCTGCTGTCACACCTAGACCTGCACACTTTGTGACAGCAGGAATACATGTCCATTGCTAAGACTCCCAGACTTGTGTTCAGTGGAGATGGCCTGCACATGTGGATCCAACTTAAGTAGAGCCATTGCAGCCACTTTAATATTTACATACTGGAGCAAAGAGCAGATGCTCCCTGACCACAGACACCCACAATGAGGCACAGAAAGAGGAAGAAGAAATCCACTAAAAGACAGAGTAGGGTAGCCAAAGAGCAAAGGACCGAGGAGAAAGAAACTCGAAAGTGTTTATCTCATCTTTGAACTTTGTCTGCAGTGTCTGATGGTGCATTCATTTTGTCGGTCAGCTGGGATTAGCAAGGGCCATCACTAAAGGGTTCTAAAAGTCAGACCTGATCTTTATGCCTTCTGCATAAAAATTACCAAATAGACCTGCATTATATTAATGAAAAACCAAGACTGAGAATTCTGTTTTGAAAGGCCTTCTGAAGCAATCTGCGGTTTATTGGGGGAAGTGGGCATGTGCTCCCCTGAAAAAAAAAAAAAATTGGAAGCGGGTGCAGTTCCAACATGTTTAGTGGGGCGAGGGAACTAGAAAAGAAGCAGACCAAGATCGAATGGAACTGCTCCCTGGAAACTTAGAGAGCAATGGTTCTCAAACTCGAATGAAAGACTCTTGGAACACACTGCTGTGCCCCATTCTAGAGCTTTCATTCAGTGGGTCTGGCCAAATTTGTATCTTTGGTAAGTTACCAGGGGATGCTGATGCTGTTGGCCTATATTCCACACCTTGGAACTAGATAGGTGTACCAAATCACTTGTAAATCATGAATGGTGACATAGAATAATGGTTAGGATCTTAAGCTATGATTGAATTTCTTCTGTCAGTTTACCCTAAATAGTTATGTGACCTTAGAAAGTGAGGCTCTCTTGGCCTTTAATATCTGTAAATTAGGAAGCTGGACTAGATGGTTTCTGAGATTCTTTCCTTTCAGTTCTATAAGTTAGCATTGAATTAACTGGTTGTGGCAGAGGCCTGCCATTTGCTGTGTCCCATTGATGCTCTTCTACTGGACAGGCCCTTTGATCTCAGAACCCAGGGTCTGGCTTGGTTTGCCTCATTTCTTCTATCATTTCTTCCCAACATTTGTGGTGATGGCATTAATTTCTCTCCTTTTCTCCTCTGCCTTGTTTTTTGTTCATCACTTCTAGGAAGAAGAGCAAAAGCAGGCAGTAAGTGCACTTCAGAATTCTCCTCTGGACTCTTGCTCCTGTGCATGTTCTTCTGTTCCTAATATAAATGTTGCCTCCTTCCCTCTCCCCTTCCTGTACCACATCAACTCTGAGGAATTGGTCATGTGTAAAACCCTCAGTAGTTTCCTCCATGGTGTCTAAAATGGCCTAAAAGTCCTGGTCTTGTTTACCTAGTGGAGCATGTTCTTACTTGAAACCAGAGCTCGTTTAAATTTTTTTAAGTGCACATCTGCTGTGTTTATTTAAATATGCATGATTAGCCAGGCTATCATTGCATTTTCCTGCCCTTTCCTGTTCTGCTCTTTTATGTCTAGAGGGACTTTAATTGCTTGAACCAACTTTCCGGGTGGTGGGGGTGACCTTGGGTCTAAATGCTGTGGCATGAATGAATGTGCATGGAAATGATTAGTTCTTCAGGTAACCCAAGGTGTCTGACAATCTTGAATAAGCTGCTGGACACTCCTGCTCCTCCAGCCCTATTAACAAAATTACTGAGGACAACTGCACAGAAAGTGGTTTGTCGCTCAGAGCAGCTGCAGGGGGACCTTGGGGTTTCTGAGTTATGTGGCTGTCACTGCATGATGTTCAGGGAGGGTGGATGTTCTTCTTTTTCCTGATAGCCACACAAGAAAACCAATTGAGGGTCTATACACAGGAGTAACTTAATTTGTTTATATAAAATAGTCCAGTTTTCAATGCATACATTTTCACATAAGCTAAAGCTCAGTTTACCTCAGGGAAACTAAAACTCAAGAAATATAAATGTTTAGTTTAAAAATCACCCACTTTTTTAATAAAAACACAAACTTGTCCTTGTTTTAGATTAAGAATGAGAATATAAAACATGCTCATTTTTTTCCAGTTAGGAGAGCAGTGGAATCAGCACAGAGCAGAGGAGAGGAAATGAAGAGCCAGGTGATGAGGGAGGGGCAGGAAAGGGGGGTGAAAAGGGACAGCAAGTCAGGGAGAAGGAGGAGGCCCTGGCTGGGAGCCGCCAACCCAACAGCTTTAATGTAACAAAAACTGGTTTGGTTTTGTTCTTGCCTGGAATTGGTTTTGCCGTTTCCCTGATTCACACAAAGTTTTATCTCTTCCATCTTTTGGCACTTCCATTTACAAATGTACATTTACAAAGCAGAGGCTCAATCCCAGGCTTCCTGTGCTTCTACCAGGAAGTGATATGCATCACTTCCTTGTTCAGAGCAAGTCACATGACCACACTTACCTTCATGGAAGGGGCAGGGAGGTATAGTTTTCAAGTGTGCTTAAAAATAGGAGAGAGCAGAAGTTTAAAGCCCCCCTCCCAAGTAGGAGAATGAGTGAGCTGGGTGGAGGGAAGGAAGCAGACCACTGATCCTTCCTCTCCTTTTCCCCTCCCATTTCCCTAGTAGTCTCATCCCCACTTGTGCAGTATGGCCTTCGTGCTGATCCTGAAGTGTCACTCCCCCAACAGCTGCAGAGATGCACTTTACAGCTAAAGCTACTTGCTGGGAATCTACTTCCAACAGTCTTCCAGACTAGCATCTCCTGATTTCACTCTGTGAAAGAATGGGAAGTGCCCTTCCATTATCTGAGACCTCTCTTTCAAAGAGGGTAGACATCATGAATATTTATTTTAACACTAGTAGTAGAGCTTCCCTACAGTATGTTTTTTTCAAATTTTATGGAATAACATGTAATCTAAGAAATCTAAGAATGCATCATTGTGGGTGTTTCTTAGGCCAAGTTAAAGCTAACACTGGGGGTTGGGGTCATAGTTCAGTGAAAGGGTACTTGCCTAGCATGTATAAAGCCCTGGATTCAATCCCCAGCCCCATATTAATAATAATAATAACAACAACAACAATAACCTTGAGCAGAGAGAGAATTAAATTAAGCACACTCATTTCAGTGACTTTTTATTCTGCATGAGATCATCATCCTCTTAAAGTGGGCAAAATGGGAAACGGATTGCTGCAGACTGCCACTCATAAGCCTCTTGTATGTGGTCTTATGAATTCTCCACAGACAGGGTCCTGAGCCATGTCATAGTCATCCCAGTCTCCTAAGTCTGTTCGTAACACCAATGGGTACAGATAGTTTTGTCCTCACTACAGATGGCTTTCGCCACCATGGTATGAGATAGGGGATGCTGCACTGTTGATCTAGGCAGAAATCCCCGTTTGTCCACCTCACAGGCTTAAACTGGACCCACCTAAGGCTCAGCCCTGAGGCTCTAATTTGGACTAAATGACTAATTTTACATAATTTAGTGCAGTTTTTCACTTGTGTGGCTGAAAAGACTATAAAGCTTTAGAATAAGCCAGGCATGGAAGCTCCTACCTGTAATCCCAGCTTCTCAGTAGGCTGAGGAAGGAGAATCACAGGTTTGAGGCCGACCTCAGCAACTTAGCAAGACCCTGTTTCAAAAATAAAAATAAAAAGGGCTGAGATGTAGGTCAGTGGTAGAGCACCCCTGAGTTCAATCCCCACTACGGGGAGAAGATATCCTAGCTATTTTGTTTTAACCCACATCATTGTAGAGTGAGAGACAAAAAAGTAAGAGTATTAAACACCGGGCTAAGATGTAACCCATTCTTTATCCCAGACTCTGGCTAGCATAGTTTGATTTTTTTTTCCTATCAAAATACATTATCTTATATAGGTAATAAAGCAATTGTAGAAAACCTGTTTTTTTCAGGACTGGGTATTGAACCCAGAGGCATTCTACCAATGAACTACATCCCCAGTTCTTTTTATTTTTTGAGACAGGTCTCACTAAGGTATCCAAACTGGCCTTGAACTTGAGATCCTCCTGCCTCAGCCTCCCGAAAATTATAGGTGCATACCACCACGCTCAGCTATAAAAGACTTTTTAAATGAATTTACTAGACATGCTTCCAAAAACAGGCTCTATAAATACATTATAGTGAACTTTTAAGATAGCCCACCTTCTTCTCCCCTTCCCAGGGATTTACTATTACTACCATGATCCTATTTACAGAACATTTCTAACATACATTTTATGGGGGTTTCATGACACACAATCTCTAGTTCACTGCAGACACCAACTGTTAGTCCCACAATTTAATTCAATTCTGACACTACCTGGAGTTTACCCAGAACCCATAGGTTAAGGACTCATCTCACAAGATTGACCCCTACTTCCGTCACCAACTATAAGTAGCACACACTTATGTCTGATTTAACTGCAAATCGTGACCCCTTCCCTAAGTTCAATAATTTGCTCTAATGGCTCCTGGAACTTGGGGAACACTTCACTTGCTATTAACAGATTTATTATAAAGGATATTATACAGATAAACAGCCAGATGAAGAGGGCAAGGTCCAGAAGGGTCCAGAAGCACGGGAGCTTCTATCCCTGTGGTGTTGTAGTTCTCTACCTCCTGGGCTGTGAGTGCCTTCACTAATCCCAGAGCCTCTTTGTTGAGGGTTTATGGAGGTTCTGTTAGATAAGCAGGATTGAGTAAGTCATTGGCTCTTGGTGACCAACTCCATCTCCAGCCCCTCTCCCCTCCTCAGAAGTCTCGTGAGGTTTGAAGGTTCCAGCTTTGTAATCGTGCCCTGGTCTTTCTGGCAGCCACCTCCCATGTTGAGCTGTCTAAGGGGCCCTGACCACCAGCCATCTGATTAGAATGTAAAGGACCCCCCTTCACCCTGGAGATTTCAAGGATTTTTTAGAAGCTCTTCTGCTAAGAATCTGAGAGGAGAGATGTTTTAGTCCGCTTTTTCATTGCTGTGAAAAAACATCTGAAAGCAACAAAGAGGAAAAATGTATGTGGTGCTCACAGTTTCAGAGGTCTCAGTCCATAGATGACCACATTGGTTGCCCTGGGCCCAAGATGAGGCAGAATATCATGGCAGAGGGGCATGGCAGTCAGGAAGCAGCTCAGAACATGACAGTCAGGAAGCAGAGAGACTCTGCTCACTAGAGTTTATATTTAGTAAAATATAAACCCCAAAGTCATGCTCACAGTGGTCTACCTCCTGCAGCCACGCCCTACCTGCCTACAGTCACCATCCAGTTAATAGCTATCAGCAGCCAGGCACAGTGGTGCATGCCTGTAACCCCAGCAGCTCGGGTGGCTGAGACGGGAGGATCACAAATTCAAAGCCAACCTCAGCAAAAGCGAAGAGCTAAGCAACTCAGTGAGACTCTGTAAGTAGAATAAAAATAGGGCTGGGATGTGGTTCAGTAGTTGAATGCCCTGAGTTCAATCCCTGGTACCCCGGCAAACAACAACTATCAGCAGATTAATACGCTGATTAGATTAAGGCCTTAATAACCTAATCATTTCATCTCTCAACTTTCTTGCATTATCTCACACATGAGTTTTTTGGGGATACCTCCTTCAAATCTAAGTCCTAATAGAAGATCAAATGCATACTTACTGTCTCACAGAATCACAGATTGCTTTGGCTTTGGGGAACTTGAGAATAATGGGAATGACTGTTACTTTAAGAACTTTGAGGCCAAAGGTCGGGGCATAGCTCAGCGTAGAACCTTGGCTTCAATTTCCAGCACTCAAAAACAAATTTTAAAAAATAAATCAAATTTTAAAAAGCTTTGTTGCTAGAGTTTTACATTCAGCCTCAGCCAAGTGCTCTGAGTGTCATCAGGACTGGTGATTCTCCTGCCTTTCTCCTTCCCTTTCCCTTCTTAGATCTAAGGGTCATGATGAAGGACAGAATGGCCTATGTCAGATAAGACTCCACTGAGTATCCAGCCCATTCTGTGGTTTAAGAGGCTGGGGATTAGACTGTGTCAGATGGGACAGGGTCAGTCAGGCTCAAGATCATCATCAGGATACAATTAAAGGACTTTGCTTTCTTTGCTGTTGTATCCCCAGTCACTAGCTCATCCTGTCCCATAGTAGATACTCAATAAATATTTGTTAAATGATAACCAGTAATAACCAAAAACTGTATGAATTAATAATTGTATTAATTGTAAGGAACAAAACTGGTTTTAAGTACCT